TTTATTGCCTTGGACACCTCTACATGCCCATGTCTCCTCCTTCATGGAACTTACCCCAGCTCAGACCCAAGAAATTGCAGAGACTGACGCCTAAATCCAATAAGTATATGAACACCACAAAAGAACGTGATTGCATGATTTTGCAGCACTCTTGCATAAGTAGCATCAGTTTACTAAATTTTTTTCCCTCTTAATCAATTTGTCCTACATCAAAATGTTTTCTCTTAGTGCTTCCCATGTGAGAAAAGATACCCTAGGAGTTGTCCTAACCTTCCAAATCAAATCAGCCAGAAAGCCATAACGAAACACTATCTCCCCATTTAGATGCCAATTACTACGAATGTTCTGAAAGAGTCTAGTTTCCAGATAAACTGATGTCTATGGGGTTGTGATGGACTTATCTCTGAAAAACATCTTAACAGCCTCAAATACTCATGGATCTCCCAACTATTTAGATTCCTTACCAACTCAACTGACCATGCCTCTCTAGTCAGAGCCAAGAATGGAGTTGAATCAAAGCCCTCCCCCCCCCCTTCCACCCCACACCCACTCATCCCTCCAGAAACTTATTTATACCACAACTCCACTCTCCATTTAACACATTCTTGAAAGTCCCCTTTTCTCTATGAGTATTTTCTTCCAAACCCAACCATGTGCAGATCCCTAAGAAAATTAGTGAACCAACCGCCACCAGCTTTTTTGTATTTAGCACATAACACTGTTGCAAAGACTCCCATCCTCCCTCACAAACCTCCATAACCACTTTCCATGAAGTGCTCTGTTGAAACCCACCACTGATCTCAAGGCCAAACCTCTGCACAGTAATGATTTAACCTCATCCCAGGCTGCGATGTGGAATATCCTTCTATCTTCTAAATCACCACATAGGAAGCTACATTGGACAAAGTCTCCTGGCCAGGCTGGAAGGGATAGTAGACACAGACATAAAAAATATAGGGATATTGGCTAAGATGCTTTTAATGAGAGTCAGTCTATCCCCTTTTCGATAATAAATCCCTTTTCCAACCCATAAATCGAAATTCAAAACAGTTGATCACCAGTCTGTCCTCATGTTGAAGCCTCCTTGAACTTGGCTCCTAATGAAAGACCCAAATATTTAATTAGTAGTTTCACTTCTCTGCACCCCAGAATGTCAGCCAACCTCCTCTCTTATTCATTAACCCCAATGTGTACAAATTCTAAGTTTTGTCAAATTAATGTCGAGCCCCGAGGCCACTTTGAAGCAAATTAATACATACATGTTATTTAAGTTCAAAGAATAATAATGTGTCATCTGGAAATATATATATATATATATCTACATTTATGGATGTCACATTTTGCAAAGACCAACCCCTTCTACTCCAAAATCCCAATTCAGAGGGAGCTAACAAAAAATGATGAATTCCAATTTTGGTGAAATGTTGACACCATTTTTTCTTCAAGTCCATCACCATAAAACTCTTCCACTCCACCACCACCAACAGTTGCACCTGAAATTTTCACTTCTAGTGTCACCAAAAACACCACTTATACTCCTCCGAATCAAATACACGAGTAAATAAGAATGGATTGTCTATTCTAGAAGGCAGAAAACTCAACTAGAGACAGATAGCAGCAGTGCCAATAATAGATTGAAGATCAACTTTCGGTTATTGTTCCTATGTGTGGGAAAACCTAGTTACTTGGCGAAGTAAAACATAGCTGGTAGTGGCTCAGAGCAGCACAGAATCAAAATTCATGGTAATGGCTCATAGAATCTGTGAAGGAATTTGATTACAAAGAATGCTTCAGGAATTTAGAGTCACTCCAAGTACCACCATGAGAGTACTATGTGATAACAAGAGAAAGCCTCAGGCCTTGATGGTTTCAATATGGATTT